CCCCGGGGCCGGGCTCTGGGGCTCCCCCGTTGGGCGCAGCGGGTGGGCCGGGGGAGCGGAGTCAGCGAGCAGGGACGCTCGGTTTTCCGATCCTCGCTGTCCTTTCCACGCCCACTGGGACGTGTAGTTTTTCCTCTCGCCCTGCGGCTCGGAGAGGAAACGAGACTCGGGGACTAAAAACTACAAGTCCCTACATTCCCCGCGACGAGGGCGGAGGAGGCGCGGTGCTGGGCGTTCCGGCACTTGGTGCCTGGAGATGGAAACCAACAAAGGGGGAACGGTGCCTGCTCTGGGGGCCGCTTTGCACAATACACATGTGCTTTGTCTAAACTTCGCCACTTCCCTGCGAGGCACTGTGGCTTCCAGCTTGCAGAGAGCTTGACTACCTGCCAGACAGCGCAGAGCTCCCCAGTGGTGGCGGTGGCATTCCACCTAGAGCCCTCGTGTTTCCGTGACAAAGCGTGCCTCTGTGAGCATGTCGAAGGGAGATGAGACCGGCTAATCCGAAAGAGAGAGAGAGAAGAGAAGCGGGGCCGGTTAGAAAGCGCTTCCTGTAGTAAGGACGCAGCGGTGGGAATGACAATTAGGAGATGACATGAGCTTAATTATAAGGAGTTATGGATAAGTATGGAACCGACAGGGGTCCATACCAAAGCAGGTTAGCGTCTGAAGGATAGGATCTTAAACAGATGCTCAGAATTGAGTTTGAATTATTTTAGATATTGTAGGATAGACAAGCATATTACTCAGACAGTTAAGTACTTTACGGGTGGTCTATTTAAAAAACAAAACAAAACAAAAAAACAGCTAGCAAGCCTCAGGTGTTTCAAAGGAGAGCTTTCATATGCTTTCCTGTCCCTTCGCTGATGAGATCAATAGGACGTTATTCTATGTATTACAACCACCGTTTCTGAGTGTCCAATAAATATACTCGATCAATTGACTTGATAGCTTTAAAGGAGGATCCCAGTCTAGTTCAGTTAAGACAGAACTGTTCTGTCACCATAGCTATGCTTTCGGGAAAGTCTTTATATGTGAGCAATACAAACTAAAGTACTTGCAATTAAAATGATACAAAGCCTAGAATGTAGTTTAAAACACTCCAACCCCGGGCCAGCAGGTGGCGTAGTGGTTTAGGTGTTGGACTCCCATGTGGGCATGGGCTGTGCGAGCCCAAAATCTGGAGAGGAGAATGGAGGAGTCCAAATAACAAAACTCCAGCCCACCTACCCCTCAAAGACGTGGGTATATACAAAACAATCTTAGAAACTGGAAAGTTGTTTGGTTTGGTGACATATCTGTATTTACTTATAGTTTACTGCAGGTTACCACAAATTTAGTGGCTTTAGAACAACACAGATTATTTTGGTATCTGTGGGTCAGGTGACCAGGTCTCACAACTATCATGAAGGTGTTGGTCAGGCTGTACCCTCATCAGCTTTCATGCCTATGCAGGTAACTGGTAGGATCCATTTCCTTGCAGCTGCAGCACTGGCTTCTTGCTGGCTGTTGCTTAGAGACCATCAGCTCTAAGAGGAAGGGTGCAGTACCTAGGGCTCACCTGGAGATCATTGTCACCTGGGCCATCCCAGCATGGCCACTCACTTTGTCGGGTCAGCAAGGAGAGTCCCCAGAGCCAGCCATCAGCAAGGCAGAATCCTGTATGACATCATTACATAGGGGCAACGTCAAACGTGCAAATTCTGTTGTCTGGAAAGCCAGCCACAGGTTTCACACACTCATGCAAGGGTTTGGACGCTAGGAGGAGCGGCCACCCTGAGTCTGCTCTCCAGAGTGCACAGAGGGTCACTATGCTATTCTTACCTACTATAGCTACTTGTGTTTATGTCCTATATTTTCCATGATTAAAAGAAGTCAACTATTTTTAAATTGTATCAAAATTTTGTACCCCAAATAAGATATGCTGATATGATTTCTAGATAAGTCATTGTAGTTGTCTTCCTGGGGGTTGCTTTTTCTTCCTATATCATGTTTAATGAGACTATGGTGATTAAGTCACTTGTGCAGGTGACTGATTACCTATCCCTAGAACCTAGCTCGATAGTCCCAATTATAGCTATAACCAACAGTATAAGATATAATAGAATTCATTCATTCATTGATTTACTTCACAATTATTTATTTCAGGGCCTAGTGTGTGCTCAGTACTGTTTTAGCAGCAGTGATATCAAACGATCCAAGGCTGGGGCTTGCTGGTGGTGTGGTGGTTGAAGCACTAGACTCCCACATGGCCCACTGTAGAGAGCAGTTAATTTGAATAAACATGATGACTTTTAGACACATGTAGAAACATGGAGAACAGCCAATCTGAGCAAGCATGGTGACCTTTAGGCACATGTAGAAATTCTGTTCCATTAGCAGTCATTTGCAGGGCAGTGAGCACAATTAACATGTGAATATGCTAGCTGCCTGTTGTTATCGAAACTGCAAAGCAGTATTGGGTTAAAGGAAGCCACATGTGCTTATCAGAATTGGCCTTAAAATATCAGAAAAATTACATGGCACCAATTGTCTTCACATCTTCAGCCAATTAACATCCAAAAACAACTGGCTTTGCATTCTTCTTCCCCCATTTTCTGCCCTTTAAAAGAATAAACCTGGGAAGTTCTGGGCTGTGACTATCTCCATCAGAGAAGTTGAGACCACTTGAGCCCCACTTTTCTTTATTCGTATGTCTTTGTGTGTTTATTTTACATGTATTCTCTAACCCACAGCCCCCTCACTTAAAAGACACGTTCAGCCCTGCGTGTCACAGCAGCCAACCACAATTTGAGTTGCGGACCTGGCATCTTGCTTTTTCACTTTCCCTTTTCTCTCTTTCTCTGTCTCTCTCTGTTCAAGTTAAAACATAATAATAACAAATGGAATGAAAAATAAATAAATAATTCTTTAATAAAAATAAAAGGGTCCAGGATCAAAGTTAATGTGTTGGGGCCAGGGAGAGAGGTGAAAGGAACAAGCAATAAACACATACTTGACTAGTAATGAGACAGTTGCAGAGAGTGCTTACAAGAGCAAAACAGCATAACAGGGTCACAGGATAGAGAGAGGGTGGGAGGAGAGTCATCTTTAAAGGAGGCATTGAGCAGAGAACAACAACAAAATGAGAAACAATAAGCCCACAGGCCTCAGTGCAGAACAGACCTGGGAAGCTCTAGGGATACGGATTAAAAACAGTCTGGCTGGAGCTTGGCGAGGGACTAGGAGAGTGGTAAGAGATAAGGGTTGGAAGTGGTAGACCAGTGAAGCATCTGGAATTGATTCTGCATGCTTGAAAGGTTACTTGTTCTGTAATCGCCATTGGTTCAAGTACTGAGGGGTGGGAAAGAAGAGTAACATATCATATTGACCCACAAAGAGATATGGATTCCACACGTCAATGCTGGGAGAACCTCAGTACTCCTAGAATTATAGACTCACACATTTATTTTTGCATGTGAGGAAACCAAGGTTCAGAAAAGTTGAGTGACCTCCTACAAATTCCTTGAGAATGCCTCCCAAATAACAAATAACCCAAAAATGAATCTGTAATTGAAAGACTACCTTATCTGACTCAAAGCTTTTGAAAACTGCTAACAGATCATTGTACCTTAGTGCTTGTCATGTGCATGGCAAGGTGACAGAGAAGTTGCATATGGCAAAGAAACTGCAATGTAGTTTGGGAAACAAGGCAGTGAGGCAGTGCAACATCACTTCCTGGAGCCCTCTGCACAGTCTGGGCTTTGACTGTCCCTATTTCTCATGAGAAATAATAATTTAAGAGTATAATAAAAATAATAATTTTTAAATATAGTAAAACAACTATCTTTTCTCAGGTATCTTCTTATGTTAGGCAATATCCTGGCTCTTTATATAATATGTTCTGCTTATAAATTCAGAAGACAATGCAATGAGGCAAAGATTATGGTTATTTTACAGAAAATGAAACTGAAGATCAGAGAGGTTAGGTGATTCATCCAAGGTTTCACAGCACTAAGTGAGGAAGTCAGGATTTGAGGGCAGATTTATATATCTGATTACAGGTGTTCTATTCTAATTCACTACACCATGGAAGGAGTATACCATGTCTGGCTGGTTGTCAACTGAACAGAATAAAGTGTCTTGATTTCAGAAGGAAGAAAATCGTGAGACCCAGACCATAGCAAGTTGTGACTCAGTGACTGCAACCATTTGGACTGACAGAACTACAAGGGTTAGTATCTCAGGGTAATGAGAATAAGAATAGAAAAGTAAATTGGTGGGGAAACATCTCTCACTGGAGTAGAATCAACAAGGTTCTAAGTGCAGGTGGTTTGTTTTAGAGAGAATTCCAGAAAGCACCACTAGGATAGAGAGGAAGAGACGAGCTGGTAAAGTCACCACTAGGGATAGTCAAAGCTCAGACTGTGCAGAGGGCTCCAGGAGGTGATGTGACACTGCCTCGGGGTACCCCAAATGAGCCTCGAGGAAGTTGAAATGTATTCAGCACCTCCCCTCTGCTACTAGTTGAGATCTTCTGAAAATGTGAACTCTACCTTCTTTACAATCTTACCATCCTCCTATAACTACCATGGCTGTCACTGCCATGAAGATAGAGCAACAAGTCGACCTTCCCTCCTTTCATTCCAACAGGCCTTTCCCTATTATCATCTGATCCATTGGATCCACTGACAACGGGGATTATGTTGTTAACAAAACTTTCAGCTGAATAGCTCGAAGCATTCCAACTTAGGATCTTCCTCCTTAGTTGTCAGAGAACTTCTAAGTCAGGAGGAAGCATGGTCTTATCCACTGTGCAAGGGGGAGACATTCAGACCCCAGAACATTCCAGGACTGAGATCCCTTTGGGGATGAGGATGAAACAAACTTTGAAAAAAATGAAAAAGAAAAACCTTAATCCAAATGTTCTTATAACTTTTCCCCAAAATGATTTTTTCTTGCCTATTTTTAACAGAAAGGAAATATATTTTAGTATGTTTTCAAAAATCTTATCTGTGCATTGAATAAATGCATTACACATACATATGAAAGAAGTAAAAGTTGTTTAAATTTCCATAACATTTTTTTCTTTCTTCTTTTTGCAAAAGAGTGTACACTCTTGCAGAAGACAGAAAGAGAAGGAGAAAGGGAAAATGAAAAAACAACCTTCAGGTAGGATGACCACCCCAAAATCCATTCTCCTCTCAAGACTTTTAGCATGTACACACACCTGGCATGTTTTTTAAGTCACTGTCTGGGACTTGAACTGCACAGTCAACCACGTGGGATCTAGCCAACCTAACCTCCATGACATCTGCTGGCCCCTCTCATCACTTTAAAAAATAACAATCATTAAAATTTTGTTGACCATCTTTACATAACTAATTTTACACATACAGGGATACACATATGTCTATATAATTTAATAAAAATGGAATCACATCATGCATACTGTTTTCATACTGTATGCTCTTGGCTTTTTATTGTGGCATTTCCCCCCTAGCCCCCTAGCCCTACCCTTCTGCAAGTAACCAACACTAACAATTTGTTGTATTGGGTTGTTGGAAAAGTCATGACACATTTTTGCATAGAAAAATACATCATGACTTTCCAGAGGGTATCCTTCCTTCTCCAGGCTCACAAAACTAGAGGCAAACATACACACACAGGTGCCTACAGTCCATACTACAATTTCACCAATGGCCTTAATAACATCCTGCATAGTTGATTCTTCCCAGTCCAGAATCCCACCCAAAGTCATGCATCACACTTAGTCACTGGATCTCTTGTCTGAGCAACTTGGGAGCAAGCTCTCACCAGTTTCTAGCCATATGGTGGAGGCAGTGGTTTTTGTCCATCAGGCAAAAACACCACCTGGAGCCTGCGTTGCTGAAACTTCCAGATACCCGCCCAGTCCAGCCCACCACTTCTGGTTCACTGTTCCTCACACAGTGGTGAGAGCTCAATTCGAGAAAACTTGTCTGTGCTGTTTCCAGCAGCTGGTGCTGGGTAAATCTAGAGTGTGTCTCAAGCCCAAGTCAGTATTGGTACCCCCAAATACAGGCACTTGTTAATTGAGAAGAAAGGGCCAGGCTTGTAGTCTGTTGGTTAAGGGAACTGGATCCTACATGGCTGACTGAGGTTCAAATCCTGGCCTCAGCTGCTTGAAAAACAGAACAGGTGAATGTGCATGCATGGCAAAATTCTGACAGGAAAAAAGAAATGGAGGAGAAGGGATTGTGGCATGACCATGTCCCCATGGAAGAGCTTGTACTTTCTCTCTGGCAAGTGCACGTGCCCTCTGGCAATCATTTAGAAAAAGGAACAGGATATACTCAATTCTTAAAAAGCAGAAGTGTGAAGAGATACAGACTTCAGAACTATTTTGTTGATTAACTGTAAAACGTTCAACAGAAGAGTAAATGTGAAAGGTGAAGTTTCCTATGAGCAGTGAGGAAACACTCCACCACTCCTAAGATTAAACCTAGCAGAAAGACACCACAGTGTCTTTGAGGAATCTCCATATGGTTCTCCTCAGTGGCTGGACCAATTTAATTGGAAAAGTGCTTGCACACTGATGTTTATTGGAGCATTATTTGCAATTGCTGAGACACGGAATCAACCCAAAAGCCCATAAACAGATGAACAGGTTGAAAAAGTGTGGCACGTATACTCTGTGGAATACTACTCAGCCATAAAAGCAGCAAGACCCTGGCTTTCGACAGAAGGTGAATGAATATGGAAGATTTATTGCTGAGTGAAGCAAACCAGGCTATGAAGGAGAGACATTGTATGTCTCCACTTAATATATACTGAGTGTCCACACTCTATAGCCGAAACTGAATGACTAGAGGAAACATAGAAAATGGTTTTAAATACCAGATACAGTTTGGGGAGAGGCTGGGTGAAGGAGGAGAGACTGAGGAAGGACAATAAGGGGAAAAATAGAGGCAAGGCATTTATTGGACAAAGAAATGGGTTGTTATCTGTTGAAGATAACGTGTATAGTATTCTCAACTGGACTGGTGAGAAATGTATACATGTTGGAATATCCACTTTGCAAGGTAAGTTACATATGTGATTGAATGTACAAAATAAAACTTAAAAAATATATATATTTTTAAAAAGACACTGCAGTGTAAGGTTGTTGGCTTTTCCTAATACCTACGTCTGAACACCACACCCGTGTGCTCAAAGGACCAAGAGCAAAACAAACACTTCTCACTACTAGAAATGTTGCTTAGTCAGAAAGAATACCAAAAAAAAATAAAAATCCAAAGTAGATTTCAGAAGATTCTGGTCTGTAAAGAAAGGGATTCTGAGACATGTCTATTGCTATTTTTGAACTAAAGTTAGTCAATAAAACAACTTGTTTCACTTTTATTTATTCTCTGAATACAAAGAAACCAGATCCAAGGACAAATTTTTCTTGGCATCCTTGTTGTCATTTCTGGGAAATAAAAACCTCACTGGAATGAATAACTGAAACCTCCTACCTCCAAGATGGGTCTTGAGATAAAAAAGTCTATTTGAATATGCCTGTAAATAGTCATTTCACATGCTGGTATTAGTTACGCTCTTATTGTTTTCCCTTTTCTAGTTAGAAGTTTTCACTATATTATTTTCTTTCAAAAGGAAATTGAAATCTTTCAGAGAGTATCTACTTAATGAGGATTTCTATGGGGGAATCTACAGCCTGAATGCTAAGAGAAATGTCTGTTCTACGAACATCTGTATAATACACAGGTAAAATCTGAAGATTTTTATTTTAGGTGTAAAAATATCAGAAATATATATTGGCAGAGGGAGTTGCACTTGCCAGAGACAGAGAGGAAGAAAGCACGTTCTAGGGAATGTGGTCATACCAAGATCCCTTCTCCTCTGTTTCTCCATCCTTTCACGATTTGGGATATGCGTGTGTGCACACAAGCAAGTTGTATTTTTCAGGCTACCAGGTCCAGGATTCAAACCACAGTTGACCAAGTGGAATCCAGATTCCTTCACCACCAGGCTATGGGGCTGGCCCAGGAATATTCTTGATTATAGATGATTTAATAAGCCAAAGAGAGGGACAAGCAGTGGCATGGTGGAACAACTGGACCCACGTGGAAAGGGCCTGGGTTCACATTTTAGGACCTCCTCATGCTCACTAGCCGGGCGTGCATCTGTGACGGAGGCCAGCTAAGACAGGATGAACTCTGACATGAAAACCCTGTGGGAGCTGACTGTGTCTCTCAGAAGAAATAAACAAACAGGAAAAAAAGGATTAAAAGTGCAAATGTATTTCCTAAACATTTTTATAACTTTGTTTTCTTACAGTAACATTTCACTTTAAGAGACATTTCAGTTTGTTCTAATGCACACCTACTTACGGGTTTAAAGTTATGTGGGAACATAAGATAGTAAAACTTAAACTATCTTATACATGTTTTCTGGTAACAGGTATGCATACACATACACACACACACGCACACACACACACACACGGATTGTGTTCAACCTTTCTTTTTTTTAACTTGTTTAGATACTTTGTTTAGAAAATCAGGCTAGGGACCAGCAGTTGGTGTAATGGCTATGTTGCTGGACTCCTGTGTAGTTGACCACGGTTCGAGTCCCAGACCCAGTGGCTTAAACTCATGCTGAGTATGTGTGCGTGTGTGCCCAAGATTCCGAGAGGAGAATGGAGGAGAAGGGATTGAGGCATGGCCATCCCCTGGGGGGTGATTTCTCTCTGATTTTATTTTTCGTCTCTTTGTCTCTCTGTCTTTCTGGTGAGCACACGTGCCCTATAGCAAAAAAATAAAAATAAAAAAATCTCTCAAAAAAAAAAAAAAAAAAGGAAAGAAAGAAAATCAGGCTATCTATTTTTGGTAAGAATATCTGTGAATTGATGTTTCTTTTTCAGTGTCATGTGAAAAGGCACATGACATTGGTTTGTCCCAACATCAGTGATGTTCATTTTAATTATTAGGGTAAGATGGCACCCCCAGGTTTTTCCAATGTAAAGTTGTTATTTTTCCTTTTTAATTAATAATTACAAAGACAAAACCTGTGTAAATATCTTTGATATGATTGTCAGCTCAACTTGTATTGAAATTTGGCAGTGTTGGAAAGTAAGGCACAGTAGTAGGTGTATGGAAGATGGAAGAAAAATCCCTCGTGACAAGATTAAGGCCATCTCTGTGGAGGAAACAAGTTCTCCGAAGAAAGAATAATTATTAGCAAGATGGCTACCCATAGGTTCCTCTTTCTTTCCACACACTTGCCTTTCTTCCTTCTTTTCTTGGCCATGTTGGAATATAGCCCTGAAGCCTGGCCAGATGCTGGCTAGCCCATGCGCTTGGACCATAGGTTTCTCTTTCTTTCCACACACTTGCTTTTCTTTTCTTGGCCATGTTGGAATATAGCCCTGAAGCCTGGCCAGATGCTGGCTAGCCCATGCGCTTGGATTTTCAGCCCACCAGAACCGCGAGCCAAGTAATCCTCTCGTCTGCATAAATTATCAAGTCTCAGATATTTGCTTATAGCAGCACAAATGGACCAAGACAATCTTGTTCATCAGATTTTTGTCCACTAATTTCAGTGTCCATCAAGGATTTTCTGAGCCCATATTTCTTTCTCTTCCTTCCTTTCTATCTTCATTCTTTCCTTCCTCTCCTGCTTCCTCCTTCATTCCTCCCTCCCTCCCTCTCTCCTTTTTCATTCCCTCGTATAATCCCCTCCTACCCTCTTCTCCTTCTTTCTTCCTCTTCCTCTGCTCTCTTCTCCTTACCTCATTCTCTTTTCTTGGCATTTTATGGTAAGGAAGCATTTTCCCTTTTTCCCCAATATTTTTTCAATGATATAATGTATCTATTACTGTCAGTAGTTTTTTGGGTTTTGTTTTTGTTTTCTGGGGTTTGTTTTGTTTTGTTTTGTTGGTAATTCAGATTGATCCAAATTTGGCTTGTGTGTAATTTGACATTCTTATACATGTACTTTCCTGATATCTGATTCATTCAAATGTTTCAGGCTTGTCTTGTACTTATACTGTCCCCACCTTGCAATCTGTTGTTTCTCCAAGGGGCCCTAGTTTCTTTTATTGGAAAATCTACATGATTTTTTTTAAATTGATATTTCTATCTCATACATATATGTATGTATATTTATTGTCTTCAGTGCTGAAAACCATATGCTCAAACTGACATACTATTCCAGTCTGAATCCATGGGCTAAATTCCATGCTTCTCATTTTTTCATATTTGTAGCTTCTTCCTTTCATGCCCCTTAATATACCTACTCATTTCCTTAAACCCAGAATACAAAAGGTTTCATGATTGCTAACTCATGCCACCACAATAAAGAAAACCAGCAAACCAGAGTTAAATACCCATTTTTGGTTCTTTCTTTTATATTGTAGACAAAAAACAAAATAGTAGACATCTGTTATAGTTTCTATTGTTACGGTTTCTTTCTAATTTTGTCTCAAGTTTTCTCTCTTTAGAATGGCCACAGGCAAGATAGTTACTCTCTAGGAATAAGTTAGGTTTGGGTGTGTCAGCCAGGTGAAACACAATGGGGAAGTGAAACCAAAATGTGGAAACAAGAAAAAAAAGATTACACATAGGTTCCAGAGAGGCTAGTGGGTGCCCCTGGGAGGCCAACAGGGAGTACAGAGACATCAGAGAGTATGACCAGGTATATAGAGAGGCAGACAGACAGACAGAGAGCCTATGGGACTATGTCTTTTAAAAATTACCATTGGTGTTATCCCTTAGGCATTCCTTCAGGGGTTGGGGATGGTAAATTTAAAGAAAATGCATATGCAAAGAGGGGCAATGATTTACATGACTCTGGTATTGATTGTTAGTTTTTTGGTTGGTTTTCAGATAGTGTCTCACTATATCTCAATCCTCCGGCTTTAGTCCCCCAACTATTTGGGACTACAGGTGTGTACACTGCACTTGGATTTTGGTGTGGCTGGGATTTGAACTCAGGCCTCTCAAGTGTCCCTAGCCTGACAAGTAGCAGTGCCTACCAGTGTGTCCAACCACTGGTTTTATATTGGTCAACAGCTATAGCAGGTATTGGATTTGGGGTTAGTGGGATAAGGAACCAACAGGTTCTATCAAAAATGATTTTACAGGGTACCAGCAGGTGGCATAGTGGTTAATGTGCTGGACTCCCACATGGCTGATTGCAGTTTGAGTCCAGGACACGGCCGCTTGAAAATCACTCCAGGTGCATGTGCATACACGCCTAAAATCCCAGCAGGAGAATGGAGGAGAAGTGATTGTGATGTGATCATCCCCCACCTATGGGTGATTTCTCACTTTCCCTCTCTCTGTCTCTGTCTCTCTCTCTTGTGAGTGCACACACCCTAAAGCCAAAAAAAAAATCTTTTTTCTTTTTGGAGAGGTTTTTGCTATAAGGCACGTGCACTTGCCAGAAAGACAGAGAGCAGAGAGAGACAGAGTAACAGAAAGCGAGAAATCACCCCCAAGAGGGGATGGCCATGCCTCAATCCCTTCTCCATTCTCCTCTCAGGATCTTGGGCATGCATGCACATGTGCCCAGCGTGAATTTAAGCCACTGAGTCTGGGACTCGAACCACAGTTGACTACATGGGAGTTCAGTGACATAGCCATTATGCCAACTGCTGGTCCCCCCCAAAAAATCTTTAAAAAATAGTAGCACAGAAAAGTGAAGTTTTAACTAGGCCAAAGGTGACAGAGTGTGACTGGTTCTTAAACAACTTATGTCAGATCTAAAAATATATCCCAAGGCAGCAACTATATTAAATGAGTTTATGACGGTATCTTTCCACTGTACCCTGTCTCAGGGGAAAGCACCAAATATTTTACTATTAAATATGCTGTTAACTTTAGGACTTTTATAGATGTTATTTATCAGGCTGAAGAAGCTTTCTTCTATTTCTGGTTTTCTAAGAGTTTCTGTATGTATGGATATTGAATTTTTTCAGATGTTCTTTCTGTACCTATTGACAGATTCGTTTTCTCCTTTATCCTATTAAGATGATGAATTACAGGGACCAGCAGTTAGCATAATGGCTATGTCGCTGGACTCCCATGTAGTCCACTGCGGTTCAAGTCCTGGACCCGGTGGCTTAAACTCACGCCGGGCATGTTTGCGTGCGTGCCCAAGATCCTGAGAGGAGAATGGAGAAGGGATTGCGGTGTGGCCAACTCCCCTGGGGGGGGGGTCCTTTCTCCATTTCTGTCTCTCTGTCTCTCTCTGTCTTTCTGGCGAGCACTCGTGCCCTATAGCAAAAACCTCTTCCAAAAAATAAAAAAATTTAAAAAGATGATGAATTACATTGATTATTGAATGCTTAAAATTTTTATATTTCTGAGATAATCCATGTTGGATTGAAATGTATTGTACTTTTTATATATTACTGGATCTTTAAAAAATGTATTTATTTATTCTATAAGAGAGCAAGAAAACAGGCATGATGGCACCACCAATAAGGTCTTCATGCCACAATCCCACTCTAGCCTGAGCCAGCCAACCAGCCAGCCAGCCAGCCTCAGCTAGCCAGTATTACAGACACAGGTACATGCCTGGTGTACACAGGAAGACCTCAGGATGCAAACCCAGGACCCTCCCATATGGCTTCAGTGTCACAGAGCACTGAGCCACTGTGCCACTGCAGCTGGCTTGTAGTCAGATTTGAGTTACTAACACTCTGTGAAAAACATTGATATCTATGTTCCTAAGGGTAATTGGTTAGTGGCTTTTTAAATTAATTTTTTTATTATGTCTTTGTCAGGTACTGGTTTTAAGATTCTCCTAGCTTAATAAAACAGGATGGGAATTGTTTCCTCATCTACTTTTTTGAAAGGGTTTCTATAAAATTGATATTATTTCTTCTTTAAATGTTTGATAGAATTCACCAGTCAGTTCTCTTGGATTTAGAGTTCTAGTTGAGGGAAAGTTTATTATACAAATCTCTGTTTTTAATGGTAATATTTAGTACATTTATATTTAATGCAATTATTGACATAATTGTATTTAAATTTTCCACTTCATTTTCTATTTGCCTGATTTGATATTTTGGTTCTTTGTTACCCCATTCTTGCCTAATTTTGGTTTTATTGAAAATATTTTCATATGCCATTTTAATTCCTCTACTAACTTTTCAGTTATCCCTCTTGAACTTATTTTTTCAGTGATTATTCTAGTGATTAAAATATGCAGCTTATTAGTATTTTGAATTTAATGTAGCATAAATTTAAAATCTTTAAATGACACAGTTCTATTTATCCCTGTTTTCATGTGATTAATGTCATATAATAATATATATTACCAACCTCAAAATATGATGGCCTATTTTTTCTTCAAATAATCATTTTACTTGAAAGCATTAAGAGAAAAAAGAAATAGTGTTATGTTTTTAGTCACATTAAAATCTCTAATCCTCTTTTTCCTTTCTGCAGATCCAAATTTTCATTGATAGCACTTTCTTTCAGCTTAAGAAATGTGCTAAAGGAAGTTTTATTTTATCTAAAAAATGTTAGTTTACTTTCACTTTCTAAGACTACTTTGACTTGATCTAGTATTCTGGATTGATAGGTGCTTTGCAAAGATGTTATTCCACTGTCTCCTAGTACCCAGTGTTTCTGATGACAAACAAGTTCTCATTTGTGCTATTCTTCCCTAATGCGTTGTATGTCATAAAAAGGACTACTCTCAAGACTGTTTGTTTTTGTTTGACTGTGAGGTGCCTGGGTGTCATTTTTATTTTTTTTGAGATAGATTTTTGCTATAGGGTGCGTGCACTTGCCAGGGAGATAGACAGAGACAGACAGTCAGAAAGCAAGAAATCAACTCCCCCCTCCCTACCCTCAGGAGGGATGGTCATGCTGCAATCCCTTCTCCTCTACTCTCCTCTCAGGATTTTAGGCACACGCGCACATGTGTGTGGCCTGAAAGCCACTGGGTCTGGGACTTAAATCGCGGTCAACTACATGGGAGTCCAGTGACGTAACCATTACACCATCTGTTGGTCCCATTTTTAAAAAATTATCTCACTTAAGTTTCAGAGCTTCTTAGACTTACAAGTATATACTCTTTACACAATTGAGGAAATTTTTTGATCATTATTTTTCAAACATTTATGTATGACCCCATTTTCTCTCTCCTCTGATTCTAGGACTCCAGTTGTACATATATTAAACTGCTTGATATTGTCCTATAGGCTTTATAAAGGTCTTTTTTTCTGGATGTGCTTCAGATTGGATAACTATTGACCTGTTTT